AGTGTTTCTCAAAGCGTACTATCAAAATCAACAGGTGCTTGCTAAAAAGGACTTGGTTCTCAGAACAGAGCTACTGAATCACCTCAAGGAAGGGGGCCTGAAAATCTCTTTTTGAACGAGCATGGCAGGTGATTCTGATGCACACTAAAATGTGGGGGACACTTGCCTTGAGGCCAAGAAAGCAGATGGGCCAATGTTCCTGAGGGTCCTCTGACTTTCCCTGTTACCTGCCTCCGACCCATGCTCCTCCTGTCAGGGAGGAGTCCCAGAGGGCCCTGAATCCAGGCACCAAGTTGGTTAGCCATGGGGCTCAGCCAGTGCTGAGCACTTTCCATGCATTTCCTTGTTCCTCCTCACAATCACACAACGGGGCAGGTATCACTAGCTTCGAGTAAGGGTAAACTGCAAGGTTTCTATTTTAGTGTGTAAGAGTAAACTGGATTTTTAATATAAACAATTATTATAAACATCTCCATATCTAAAAAATGTTTAGCATCATCATTTATGATAGCTTCAGAGTGTTCCACTGATTTAATGTTACATAATTTTTTAAAATAGCTTTATTGAGATACAGTCCAATACCATAAACATAAAATTCACCCTTAAATTTAAGGTATATAAAGCAATGGTTTTAACATATTTACGGAATTATGCAGCTATCACCACAATCTAATTTTAGAACATTTTCATCACTCCGAAAAGAAACCCTGTACCCATTTGCAGTTACTCCCCATTTCTCCCTGCCCACAGCTCCTGGCAACCACTCGTCTCCTTTCTGTCTCTATGGATTTGCCTATTCTGTAATTTTTTTAACAAAATCTCTAATGTTGAATGTTTATGTTTTTTCTACATTTTTGCTATTATTACCAAGTCTCTGATAAACATCTAATATACACGTATTTTTTACATTTTGCCTGATTACATTCTTTTTAAAAAAATTATTTTATTGAAGTCACATTGGTTTATAACATTGTGTAAATTTCAGGTGTACATCATTATATTTTGGCTTCTGTATAGACTGCATCGTGTTCACCACCAAAAGTCTAGTTTCCATCCATCCCCATACATTTGTGCCCTTTACCCCTTTTGCACGCCCCTCCCCCCCACCTTTTGCCCTCCCATCAACCCCTTCCCTTTTGGTAACCACCAATCTATTCTCCTTATATATGTGTTTATTTGTTTATCTTCCACATCTGAGTGAAATCATATGATATTGGTCTTTCTCTGTATGATTGACTTTGCTTAGCATAATACCCTCAAGGTCCATCCACGTTGTCGCAAATGGCACGATTTTGTCTTTTTTTATGGCTGAGTAGTATCTCATTGTATATATATACCACATCTTCTTTATCCATTCACCAGTTGATGGGCACTTGGGTTGCTTCCAAGTCTTGGCTATTGGAAATAATGCTGCAATGAACATATGGGTGCATATATCTTTTTGAATTAGAATTTTCAAGTTGTTTGGATAAATACCCAGAGGTGGAATAGTTGGATCGTATGGTATTTCTATTTTTAATTTTTTTTAGAAATCTCCATACTCTTTCCCACAGTGTCTGTACCAGTTTACATTCCCACCAGCACTGTATGAGGGTTCCCTTTCTCCACATCCTCTCCCATACTCGTGATTTCTTGTCTTTTAAAATTATAATCCTAAGATCAATTTCTAGAACTAGAATTTGCTAAATCAAAAACATGTCCTTTTGTTTGTTTGTTTCCAAAGTCACAAAATGACATTGTTGAGTATATATTTTTCTTCTTTTTGGTGGAAAAATACTCAGCAATGTGGAGAAAATATTTTTCGAGAATAACTGTGTGTGTGTGTGAGACCATACTGCTATGATCTTCAAGAAATATAAAATTAAATTTACAAAATGTGGAAGACCAAGTAAAAGCAGTCTGGTATTTGCTTCAGTGTCCAGCACGATCATAATGATTTCTAGCATAAAAACAAGAAGTTCCTGGGTCTCAACTATCTTCAGTAACTGCCAGTTTATTTATGACTGCTGCCCTTGCTTCCTTGAGAGGTACTTTTCTCAGTGTTTGTGATTTAGCTCCAAAAAGTCCATTTTGCTAATTCCTTGAGGTGTTGAGTTAATTTAAAAACTTCTTTGTCTTTATCTTGATTTACCAGTAATGAAAGCTGTGAAAATTAAAAGGTGTTTCAGAGATCAGATTGGCAATGATCAATGAGCCTGACAGGTTCCATGACATTAATTTGGGGAGTACTAATTGAACCTATTTTCCTGGAGGACACTCTGACAATATGTATGAAAATGAAAAGTGTGTATCCCTTTGACTATAACTAGAAATATATCCAAAAATATATGTATAAAGATATTCACTGAGGTATCATCTGTAATAGGGAAAATAGGAAAAAATGTAAATATACATCATCAGAATATTGATTTATAGCATATGATACATTTATAAAATGCAATAGTATGCAGCCATTAAAAATGATGAAAATATTCACTTAAAGAATGTTCTCCAGCACGTTGTTGAGTGAATTAAAAAAAACACCAAAAACTAGAAGAATGTTCACCAAAATATTAACAGAATCTGGGGTTATTTTTACTTTCTTTACATTTTTCTGTATTGCTAGAATTTTCCATAATGAATTTTTTTGTTTATAATCAATAGATTGTAAAATAGTAAAAAGCTATTTTTATTTGGGAAAAAATCTGTGGAATATCTTTAAAATTTTGTACTTAAGGGTACTGAAGAAATTTCAACAAGATCCAAATAGTAGAAATTGATAATAAATGAATACAAGTTTAACATGGAAATTAACACAGAGGTTGTAAGAAAAAGTAAATAAAATTGGCACATACAAAAAGAAGCTGTGGAACAATCCTATTTACAAATATAACTACAAAAGCCTAAATAAAACATTAGCAAATCAATTTCGTTAGTTTATACCGGAACATGAGTATGGTTTAATAACAGGAAAGCTGTTAACAGTGACAGGCACTGATGAAGCATCTGATAAAAAATGCAACAGCCTTGTCTAATTATTAAAATACTACCGTAAAATATAAATAGAAAGATAGTTGCTAAATATATACACCCTCTTCGGCTTAAAATCCTTTAAGGCTCCTTATTACACTTAGAATAAAATTTTAAAATCTTAACAAGACTCTGCATGATCTGGACCCTGCTTGCCTGCATAAGCTCATGTCTCACTGACATCCTCTTCACTCCAGCCACACTGAACCATATTTAGTTCCTTCAAAACAGCAAGCCCTTTCCCACCTCAGGGCCTTTGCACATACACCTCTTCCTGTGTCGGGATGTTTGCTCAAGAGTTCATAAGACTGGCCTTTTTTTGCCCTTCACGTCTCAACAAAAAAGACATCAAAATGTGGAAAGTGGTTATCCATCTCTACACGGTGGAGTTAAATCTATTCTATTTATATTCTCTCATTTTTTATTTTTAAATTTTTCATCCTACCTACATTAGATTTTCAAAAGGAAAAAAAAGCACAATAAACCATTTTAATCTTTAATACATTTTATAATGTTTTTGGTAAGATATGAAATATTGATTTGCTGTTTTCCCCTAGACAGCTGTCCCAATGCCATTTATTGAATAATGCAACCTTTACCTGCCAATGTAAAATACTACCACAGTAATCCACTCAGTACCATTGTACTTGGCCCTGTTTCTGAAGTTCTGTCCTGCTCTGTTGATCTGTTCACTCCAGCACCAGCACCACACTGTTTTAGAGTCTTTTATATGTGACAGAGAAAGTGTCCCCTTCTTACACTCTTTTTTGACATTTTCCTGGCTTATTTTCATATTTATTTTTAGAGGAAATTTAGAATAGTTTCTGTTTCCCAAAAATCCCGTTATGATTTTGACTTCAAATAGGTTAAATAAATTTTAGATTAATTCAGGAGAATATGCACCTTGGCAACGTTTCACCTTTCTATCTGGAAATTAGTAAGTCTATCCATGTATTATTAAACGGAGAAATGGAGGACTGGAAGGTCCTGCCCAATTCTTCTCAACATCTTAATGCTTAGGTTATTTTTTTAATAATGTAAATGGGATTGTTTAACACTGTATTTTCATCTGATTATTGTTCATGCATATAATACTTACAATAGCAATAGGCAATATTTATTGAGTGTCCACAACATGCCAACTTTGTGTCAAGCACTTTATTACCTAATTTTATCCTTGCCACAACTCATTTTTCACATAAAGAAAGCCAGTCTTAAAGAGCTCAGATAACTTGCCCGAGGTTTCACAGCAAGTGGCAGAGCTCAGACATGAATTCCAGCATCTCACAAGACAGTCTTAATCTCTGGATTATATGACTTACTGGGAGCACCATTGGTTTGGGTCTATTCATTGTGTGATTGGCCACTTTACTACAGTTGCTTGTTCCTAATGGCATTTCAGTTGATAGTCTTAGGTTTCCCAGATATATCATCCTATAAGCAAATAATGCTAATTTTTCCTTTTCCTTTCCAATATTTTTACTCCCCCAGCTTTGTCCAATTCTGCAATAGCGATTTCTTAATAATGCATACACTTATTTTAAAAATCATTTAAAAATCTATTTAATACCATAATATACCAATCTTTAAGCACTTTAAGAGTATTGTAGGATGATAGGATTTTAAATAAGACATAGACATTATTCCTGTAATATTGAGTGTGCCAGATTAGAAGTTGCTGGAGTGACTAAATTGCATAAAGATTTTCCACATTGTGTTTGTACCTGTTATTACTTTGTTGCTAATCTAAAAATATTATAAAATTTAGTCTAAGATATTTTTAATGTTAAGAAATTAGTTAATTTTGCCTATATTAAAGTCCTTATTTAATCAAGGGCACTTAGTAAACATTTATTGGTGCCCAAGTTGCAGACAGTTCAAGAAATGAATGGAAGCAACCAGAGTGGAGTCTCCGAGTTCCTGCTCCTGGGGCTCTCAGAGAGTCCTGAGCAGCAGCAGGTCCTGTTTTGGATGTTCCTGTCCATGTACCTGGTCACAGTGGTGGGAAATGTGCTCATCATCCTGGCCATCGGCTCTGACTCACGCCTGCACACTCCCATGTACTTCTTCCTGGCCAACCTCTCCTTCACCGACCTCTTCTTTGTCACCAACACAATCCCCAAGATGCTGGTGAACATTCAGTCCCAGAACAAAGCCATCTCCTATGCAGGGTGTCTGACACAGCTCTACTTCCTGGTCTCCTTGGTGGCCCTGGACAACCTCATCCTGGCCACGATGGCATATGACCGCTATGTGGCCATCTGCCGCCCCCTCCACTATGTCATGGCCATGAGCCCTGGGCTCTGTATTTTGCTCCTCACCTTGTGTTGGGTGTTTTCTGTCCTCTACGGCCTCATCCACACCCTCCTTATGACCAGGGTGACCTTCTGTGGGTCCCGGAAGATCCACTACATCTTCTGTGAGATGTACGTCCTGCTGAAGCTTGCATGTTCCAACACCCACGTCAATCACACAGTGCTGATTGCCACAGGCTGCCTCATCTTCCTCACTCCATTAGGATGCACAATCATGTCCTATGTATGGATTGTCAGAACCATCCTCCAAATACCCTCAGCCTCTAGCAAGTACGGAGCCTTCTCCACCTGTGCCTCCCATTTGGCTGTGGTCTCCCTCTTCTATGGGACACTCTGTATGGTATATCTGCAGCCCCTCCACACCTACTCCATGAAGGACTCAGTAGCCACAGTGATGTATGCTGTGGTGACCCCCATGATGAACCCTTTCATCTACAGCCTGAGGAACAAGGACATGCATGGGGCTCTGGGAAGACTTCTCCTAGGGAAAGGCTTTCAGAGGTCGACGTGAGGTAATTTTGGGCATTGAAGTGGAGACAGGGAATTTCTTTCATCTTGTGCAAGGCATTATCCTGTGGGGGATACAGGAGTGAGTAGGACATAAATCCAGCTCAGAACGAGCTCATCTATCTGTGATGAAGAAAAGACACCTGTGTATAATCCAATGTCTCCCAGACTTCACCAGCCTTCGTGATAAATAAGGTCACGCTAACACTAATATTAGAATTTTGCAAGATCGGATCCTTTAACTTATCTGACCATAGGACCATGGTGCCCCCATCCTAGCCTTTCAAAACATACCCAGTTATGGTCTGGGGGTGAGGATGCTGTCTTGTGTTCTCTAGCACACCCCCACTCTTGGTCTTGAGCTCTGGCCCTCTCTAAGGGGGCTGCTGCTGTAACCATCATAGGCCAATTCCTATGGGCCCTATTGTATCAATAACAAAGTCGTATCAAAAGTTGTTTTGCAAGGGCAATGAGCAAAAACTGCAAATCATGTAGCTGGAGCATGCTCAGAAGATGGAAACCGTGTCTTCAGATGACCTCAAGCTGCCTAGGAACCAAAAGTTCCCTAACCACAGAACTCAATGTGAAGAAAAAGCAGAATGGGGAACCTAATGAGAAGTGAGGGGTCTCTTGATTTGTAGCACACCGTACTTATAAGACTGTTATACTCCCACCCTCCAATCAGATTCCACCAAGTTAGCATAACCACTCCCACTCCCAACTCCTTAAAACTCCCAGCTTCAGCTGGAGGGAGACAGATTTGAGCCCTGCTCTCTGTCTCCTTGCTGGTAGGCCATGCAATAAAGCTCTTTCTTCTCTCAAAAGCCTGTGCTGTAGTATTGGCTTCTATGCACATCAGGCAGTGAGCCTTCACTTGTAACACTGCCTATAAGCCATTTGGAGAAGACATCTGGTGCCACATATACTGTAGGTGCCCTGGGTGAGGCTGCCTGTTTCCTGGTAGGCTGCTGGGCACAGCTCCCACTGCTTCAATGCTGACTCACAGTCCCCCTGGACCCAATGTCTGCTGTTCGGGCAAAACTTATAGAAAAGTTTCTCTCCTTTGTTCTGGCTTGATTTTCATCTCTTGGGCCTCAAAGCAATACTGACTATGTCTTTCTCCTGCTTTCCTTTTCCCTGTGGGGAGAACTTATACGTGGGCAGCCCGTCCTATACTTTATTACTGTGGCTTCTCACTCTATTTCCCATCCCTCCTGCTTGCAACGGCTCTTCCTTCCCTCAAGACAAAACTCTCCAGCATATCAATGCACACTCATGAACAGGAGTGGTGGTGGAGGCAGTAGAGGGAGGAGGCAATTATGAGACCCAGTGTCTACTTAGGTTCAGCCAGCCCTGTAAAATGGAATGGACAGAAGGTGAATAGTAATTGATGAGAAGATTAGTCATGGGGCTGTGGCAGTTTGAAAGAGGAAGCAATCCTTTACAGATGAATCAGCAGAGTCAGCACTGACGTAGACTTTGACAGATGGGGAGAGTTGAATTAATCTGAGGTTTAATTCACTCAATTGATAGTGAGTGAGTGCCTATTAGGGGCCACAAACTGGGTTACAAACATGCATCAGGAGCTCACAGTCAACCAGGGAAGAAGACAGTTAGTGCAATGTCTGAAGGCTATGGTTATGCTCTGGGCAGGAGGGTCAGGGGGACATGAAGGAGGAAGACTAGCCTGGCTTGCTAGTGATGGAGGATTCAGGGCAGGCTTCCTTAAGGTGGTGAGAGCTGAGCTGAGACTTAACAAATGCCTAAGAGTTACCTAGGAAAAGTGGGCAGGGCAAGTAGGATCACCCCGAGAGGGGAGGAGGAATGGTGTAGAGGGGAGTATTCACATTTGCAGCAGACAGCCCCCCTTCACATCACAGCTCTACCCATTCCTGGTGTGTTCTTGGAAGTCACCTCACCTCTCTAAGGCTGGTTTTCTCATCTGTAAGTTGAGAACAACAGCATTATGTAACTCAGAGTGTGGCTGTGAGGAATAAATGAGATACTGTGCAAAAGCCTTCAGTAGATGGCTTCGCCCACTTGCTGATGTTATGGCCCACTTGTTATGCACTTGTTATGCACGAACAGCTGGAAAAAGGCCGTGAGGCAGGAAACTGCCTGACATGTGAGGGGATGGCCCAACTGAGTGTAACTTGTGAGAGAGGCAGTAGCAAGTGATGCAGCTGAAGAGGTAGGTGGGAGAGATTTCAGATGGCTTCCAATGCCTGTTGAGGAGCTTGGAATATATTCTGTAGATAATGAGATACCAATGAATTTTGTTGGTTTTAACTTTCATTATTTTTATTAAACCAATAATATGCATTTATTGTAGCAATATTAAAGTAAAAATAAGCCAAAAATAATTACCTGTATTTCTACCACCCGAAGACAACTACTATTTGCATTTGGTATAAATTCTACACGTCAATCTCTGCTAAATACAGCCGGTTTTTTTTTTCTCAGAATAAATTCAGATTGTTTTGAAACTTGCTTTTTCACTTGATAATATCTTTCTATGTTAGTAAATATTCAGCTATATTACTACTTAATGC